CAAAAACACCTTTCTCAATTGTGCTCTGCAAGATTTTTTTTTTTGCCAGTTCTGGGACTTGAACTCAGGGCCTGGGTACTGTCCCTGAGCCTCTTCGTGCTCAAGGTTAGCACTCTACCACTTGAGCCACAACACCACTTTCAGCTTTTTGTTTATATGGTACTGAGGAACTGAACACAGGGCTTCATACATGCTACCACTAAACCACATTCCCAGCCCCCTTTGTAAGATTCTTACATGAGGGCATAGCATATGACAGTTGACCATCGTTCACACACGCAAAAGGAGCTGGGAAGGTGGCTCAGTGGTAGACTGCTTGCCCAGCATGGATGAGGCCCTGGGTTCGATTTCTCAGTAGCACATAAATAGAAAAAGCCAGAAGTGGTGCTGTGGCTTAAGTGGTAGAGCGCTAACCTTGAGCTGAAGAGCTGAGGGACAGCGCCCAGACATAGAATTCAAGCCCCATGACCAATAACAACAAAAAGAAAACACGAGTGTTTCAGAAATGGTACTGAAAATGAATATGACCATTTATAAATGACTGTGCATATAGCAAAGGAACTGGCTAAAAATGGAGGGAACTGGGAGAAGCAGATGGCAACTGTACAGTGTGGTAGGGTATAATGTCAGGTATTGATCAGTCAAACAGGCGGGAATATGGAAAAACAAAGCGATTATAACTAGTGTAGTGGGTACATTGTCATGGCTCATGGACTTTGACATTTTACCTGTGACCTTTAGCCCCCACTTTATCAAGCAGAATGCTCTCCCCCTCCAAGTGAGCTCAGAAAGGGTAACTTAGCTTACTCAATACTAACTTTTCCCCTTTAATGACACTTTATTTTTTAGCTGCAGCTGAACACATTTTAACCCCCCTTTGGCAAAGTGTCCACGGGATGCGTTCATAGGCCCTCAGGCCTCTTCTGAGCTTGGGGGCCACTGCGTAGGTCAGCTGCGCCCCACAGGGTTGGCCCACCCACTCAGTAGCTTCTGCTTTTCATCTTTGTTTTGTTGCCTTTGGGAGATTTTTTTTGTTTTCATTTCTAGAAGCAGGAATCATGGCCTCATCTGCGTTTGCTAGTGTGCTTTGTGTCTCAGGAGTGGGGCTTAAACTCAAGACTTTGTGCTCGGGGCTGGGAAGGTGGCTCAGTGGTAGAGCGTTTGCCTTGCATGTATGAGGCCCTGGGTTCGATTCCTTAGCACCACATAAGCAAAAAGAAAAAAGCCGGAAGTGGCGCTGTGGCTCAAGTGGTAGAGCGCTAGCCTTGAGCTGAAGAGCTGAGGGACAGCGCCCAGGCCCAGAGTTCAGGCCCCATGACCGGACCCAAAAAGAAAAAAAAAAGACTTTGTGCTCCTGGCTGGTGCTCTACCACCCAACATTTTGCTGGTTAATGGACAGTCTTGAGGACTTTTCTGCCTGAACCTGGCTTCAACAATCCTCAGATCTCAGCCTCCTGAGTAGTATTACCGTGAGCCACCAGTACCTAGTTGGTTTTACTTTTTGACACTACAGCTTGCTAAGTGGTCCAGGCTGACCTTGAACTTGCAATCCTAACCTCTGCCTCCCAAATGCTCGGATTACAGGCAATGCCTCAGTACATCTAGTTTCTGCTTCATTAATAAATCCAAGCTGTTGGTTTACTTTCCATGATTTATACCTTTAAAATTTTCCTCAAAACCAGCAAAAAACAGATCTGATAAATACCCTCATTTTTTAAAATGAACATTATTAATGGCAATTGATAGGAAACACAAATAGCTCAACTTATTTTTTAAAGTCTATTCACTTGTAACAGGAAAAAAAATATGCAAGTTTAAACTCCAGAAACGTTATTTTCCCCCAGTCTGGCGAAGAGCAGAAAGTTCCCTACCCTGTGTCTGACTCTCCCACGCTCTTGTCTGCTGAGGCCCAGTCAGTAGCACCTACCGTCACCCCACACACCCCTTGACCCAGGAGCCCAGTGCTGGCAGCCCCTCCTGCAGACACACTTGCCAGTGGGAAACAGCCCACAGCCATGGCTTATTGCAGCAATGGATGTAATTGCAAAGGACGGGAACAAACAAAACATCCCCTAATCGGAAAAAGTCTGGGTAAGAGAATTAGAGTAACCCACGCATCCATATAGCCCTTAAAAAAAAAAAGCAAGACGGGGGGGGGGGGCTTTCCCAGTATTACCACAGAACTCTTCAAAACACTCCAAGTTAAAAACAAAAAAACAAGGAAATGGGGATGAAGCAGCCTCTGGGGAGGGAAGTGTGCAGCTGGGGTGGGGCACTGCGCCCAGTTCTGAGTTTTGAACCCTGTGAATACATTATTCAGAAGAGCAGAATTAGAATGCTTCCACATACTGAAGCCTTCCTTGTTATTAAGGTTTGTGGCTTGGCTCCAGCTAACTGAGCGGCTACACACTGTCCTGCGGTACATCCTGCCTCATAGAAGTCAGTGGAGCAAAACCATGGCCATGTCTACCACAGTGACTAGACCAAGCCAGGCTGGAGAAGCACAGGGGCTCCCAGCTTGCACTTCTGCCTGCTGCCTAGAGGAGGCATTACAAGACCTGCCCTGGACACGCAGCAGTGGCTTGGGAGCTTTGGGGCCTCAAGCAGCTGACCAACAAGGCAAAGAAGCAGACAGGCAGGAGTAAGTTACATAAAATAGAAACTAACTTTATTTCTCTGGAAGAAGCAGATATCCATAGCGGGGGGCAACTTTGGCGATGGGCTGGTGGGAAAACATGGAATGGCACAAAAAAAGAGTTGGGGTCTAACAGGAAGCACTGGTATCTTTCCAGGGCAGCTGCCTCCTTGGTCTCCTTCCAACCCTAGGGCCCTGGGCCCTGGTCCCTGCCAGAAAACAGTCTGGCACCCACTCTCTGCTTCCCAAGCCACCTCAGGCTATTTCCAGGAGCAAGAGCAAGAACAGCCAAGCCCCCTAACATGTCCATGGCAAGGCCACAAGTCACCCCAACTGCCTGCCATACATTTCCTAGAAGGGGCCCAGCCCTGCGAAGGGCCCCCTGGGTGCTAGCCCCCCCTTCTGTGTGGCCAACACATCCTCCTGGTCCGGATCGAGCCTGGCTCCTGGTCAGTCTGACGCCCCTGAGCGGGGCCTGGGGCGGGGGGCACTCCAGCTACAGAGCAGCCGGACCCGGCTCTCAGTGTGCTTCACAGGGCTCTCCCCACCAGCTGGCTGGGACACTGAGGGTGGAACCAGGTGTGCAGGGACAGCGCTGGGGAGTGAGACGGCACGGCGGGGCTCCAGCCCCCTGCCGCCATGGCCTCACTGTCTACTGGGAGCAGCAGGCAGCGGCAGGTCCTCCAGGCCCAAGTGGGGGGCGTCTCCCCACCTTGTCACATGGACAGGCTCAAGTGATTCCTTCAGGACAGACCTTCGCTCTCCAGACACCTCTCAGCGCCTGTAGGAATAACCAAAAGGTACAGCCATCATTGTGGGCTGGTTAACTGGGCTGTGGAACATGCAGTGTGGCGGAAGCGCTGTCGTCTAGGTGACATGCAAATGTGTTGGAAACTGGTAGTTCCAGACAGTGATTTGAGAACTTACTGTGCAATGGTAAGCTATCATGAAAGGTCCTGTTCCTTTTTTTTCTTTTCTTTTCTTTTTTGGTCCGGTCGTGGGGCCTGAACTCTGGGCCTGGGCGCTGTCCCTCAGCTCTTCAGCTCAAGGCTAGCGCTCTACCACTTGAGCCACAGCACCACTTTCGGCTTTTTTCTTTTTGCTAATGTGGTGCTGAGGAATTGAACCCAGGGCCTCATGCATGCAAGGCAAGTGCTCTACCACTGAGCCACCTTCCCAGCCCAGGTCCTTTTTCTTTTACTTTCACTGAGTTAATTAAAAGAGTACAACACTATTGTGTACTACAGGGATGATGAAGCCTGTTTCTGTGGACTTATGTCCGGGAGAACACATAACCTCCAAGGGTGCTGTGTGCCATCCACCTCATGATACTAAAGAGGAGGCCACATATACACACAGTGTGCACGCACACACGCGCACACACGCGCACACACACGCACACACACACACACACACACACACACACACACTGGGGGTTTGAACTCAGGGTCTCATGCTTATTAAGCAGGTACTCTGCCATTTGAGCCACACCCCCACCCCATTTTTGCTTTAGTTATTTTGCCTGGGCTTGGCCTCAGGGCAAGGCCTTCCTACTTATAGCCTCATCATTAGTCAGGATCATAGGCATGTACCACCATGCCCACACAGCTTATGGACTGAGATGAGATCTCAATAACGTTTTGCCTGGGCTGCCCTTGATCCTCCTGACCTCTGTCCCACACCTCCCAAGCAGCCAAGATCACAGGCATGAGCTTTGCCATTCGGCTCTATATCTTATAATACAAAGTTTCATAGGAAAGAAGTAATGGATTTTTAGGGGGGTAGACAGTATTTTTAACAGACATTTGCATTTTAATTCTTACTTTCAATAGAAATAAAAAAAAAAAAAACAACTAGCTGGGTGCTGGTGGCTCACGCCTATAATCCTAGCTACTCAGGAGGCTGTGATCTGAGGATCGCTGTTCAAAGCCAGTCTGGACAGGAAAAGTCCGTAAGACGTTTCTCTCCAACAAACCACCAGGAAACCAGAAGTGGCGCGGTGGCTCAAGTAGTAGAGTGCTAGCCTTGAGTTGAAGAGCTGAGGGACAGCACTCAGGCCCAGAGTTCAAGCCCCATAGCCAACCAGAAAAAAAAGAAAAAAGAAACAAAAAAGAGAAGTGTTTAGTAAGTCCTCAGGCCTGCAGTGCTGTTGCAGGCACTGTGGAGGAGTTGGGGAAGTGGCCCTTCCCACCCGGAAGCCAATCCCGTCTTACTTGTTAGCTTATTTGGTTTTCTAATAAAAAGGGCTAAATGAGTTCACTTAGGAAAAACTCTTTCCACTTGGGTCTCCCTGGCCACACACATGCTGGGCTTTCCTACTGTGGCATTGCTGGGGCCGCCCCTCCTGGGACAGGGTGGCGTTCACTCACTTGTGGTGGGCAGGACCGCAGGAACCCAGAAGGTGGCAGCCAGCTTGCTCCAGGTTCCAGTCAAACATTTCCAGCACTTTGTGGCACTCCACCCGTGGCCGTAGACCTAGCCCAAAGAGCTGCTCCACCTGAGGGGCAGAAGATGATGCCATAGGACCCAAGGGCACGGGTCAGGGCAGAAGAGTCAGAGCCAGGGAGTGGGACTGGGAACAGCAGATCGATTCTCAGGGCCCCTGAATGCCAGGAGGTGGTACCTTCAGATACTGGGCAGCCCTCTGCACGCTCCAGCCGTGGCTCTGCAGGGCCGCCTGGCACTCCTCTGTGGTCACCCCATGCACCATGGCCTGTAGCTGGGCACACCCACCCATCAGCACCGCTTGGGCCCATTCCTCTGGGTCCCTTGGGCCCCTGCCCCTCACCTCGAGGCAGTCTGGCACTCACCATCTGGACCTTGTCTGCTGGCCGTCCAGCCTCTGGCCCATCCCCAGGGCAGCCCCTCTGTGGCAGCCGAGCAGTGGCCCTCAGGGCTGGTGGTCGGGCCCCTGGGTTGCTGTTGTTGGTGGAGAAGTTGGCCTTGGGGTCTGGGGAAGCCTGGGGCATTGGCCTAACGGTGGCAGTGGGGGCAGCAGGGGCTGGGGTGTTGGGTGGGGGAAGCAACAGGGGCACAGGCAGGGCAGCTGGCTCTTCGGGGCTCTGGGCCTCACGCAGAAAACGCTGGTAGCGCTCCAGGTAGGGAGGGCGCTCAGGCAGCAGATAGTAGTGGGTGTTGCTGACCTTCTTGCCATCTCGGACAATGGGCAAGATGCAGGGGCCAGCCCGTGGGCCGGGAGCCTGGATCACCTGGGGCGCGGCGTACTTGGGGTCTGAGGCAAAGCTCTGGGTGGTAGGCATTGTTTTCCCGGGCGAGCTTGAGAGGCGGAGTGACGGCGGGGAGCTGCCAGGCAGCACTAGGGGGCTGGGGGTCCTGGAGCCTTGAGGGGACAGGGGCTCCCGGGGCGGTACCCGGGGAGGAGAGGCGGGCCCAGGCCACCGACCTGGCTCTTCCTCACCCACGGGGGCTGGAGAGAGCTCCACACGTGGCCGCGTGGGCCGAGGGGGGATGGGCACCCGGGGGGGCACCTGCGGCTTGTCATCAGTCCCCGGGCTGGGTGAGGGCGCCAGGGAGCCAGTGGGGACCTGCAGCTGTCGCATACACTCCTGCTGCAGGGCCTGGAAAATCTCTGCGGTCTGGGCTGAGTTGGGTGGCTTGCCCCCACCCTGGGGTGGGAGGAACAGGTTGTCCTCCAGGGCAGGGGGCAGCGGTGCCTGCTCGGGCACAAAGGCGTAATTGGTCTCGCCCTGGCTGGGCCCAGCAGGGAGCCCTGCGCCCACCAGGGTGCTGTTGATGGAGCAGACCTCGAAGTCATCCTCGTCTTGAGCCACATCATCATAAGCAGGGGGTGGAGGCAGTGGGCGTGCATCCCAATCCACCACGGGTGTGGGGTGCAGAGGTCGTGGTAACGCTCGCGTGGGGCTCTGCGGTGGTGTCTTGTCCAGCAGGGAGCAGGCATCCATGGCCAGCTGTGCTAGGGAGGGCGCACAGGGCCGTGGCACGGGGACCACAGGCTCCTCCCCAAAGTCAATGAGCGTCACCTCACTCCCGCTACTTCGACCTGCCTTGGTGCCAGAGACGCGGGCAGAGGGCTTTGCTAGCCACAGCCCTCGGGGCAGACCTGGCTTCCGCAAGCCCAGCCTCTTGAAGTCGCTGGACAGCGGGTCTTGGTCTTCACTCACAGGATCATAGGTAGGTTCTGCAATTTAAAAAAAAAAAAAAAAAGGAGGCCCCAGGGAGGCAGGGTCAGGCAGAAATGGGGGACAAAGCAAAGCAGGGTAGGGGAAAGAAAGTAAACAACTCCCTCTAACCCTCTACTGCCAAAGCCCCCACAGGTCAGTCTGAAGCTGCCAAAATGGTCAGTGCACAGCCGACCTCGATTACACAGGAGGCCAGAACCTACTGCCTATCCTGAGTCCTCAGTGTAAGCTAGCCAAGTCCCCACCTCCCACTCCTGCCTGTCTCTGATGCTCCTTCCATTAACACAAGACCCCAACCCTTGCTCCTGGGCCATTAGTAAGCCTTCACCTCCCCTCCATCATGGCGCACCATTAGTGCAGGCATGGGAAGTGGGAGCAATCCTCAGAGAGAACTGAACTACTGACCAACTGCAGCCAAAGACTCAGCCTCTGCAGACCCAAAAGGGTGCGAGGCAGGGCCTGGCCCCAGCACATCAACGTTCAGGTGGGCATCAGGGCCATAAAACCTGTTCCAGAAGCCCGGGCTTCTGAGGGTGTGGAGCGGGGAGGCAGGCATGCCGGGCCAGGTCAGCAGCAAAAGCTCACAGCACACACCGGCTTCCCCTCCCACCCAGTCAGCCAGTGGGGCTCTGTACCTTGCAGGAGGAGAAGAGAATATAGAGGAGAGAGAGGGCGGGAGCAGGGGCCAAGGCGTCCTGAGCAACCCCACTTACTCTGAGTGAAGATGGCAGGCTGAGGTGGGCGAGGTGGAGGCTCCCCTGCAAGAAAGGCCATGCGGACGGGGAGGAGAAGAGAGTAACAGAACAAGATAGAGGACCAGGGAGGGAGACAGAGCCAGACAGACGACAGCAGTTTGGAAAGAGGGAGAGGAAGAGAGAAGGGGGAGAGAGAGGTGAACAGGAGTGAGCAAATGTAAAACTCAGACTGCAAATGAGAGGCGATGGGGCAGCAGGGTGGGGACAACTGTGTTCCAGAATGAGAGGCACAGGATCGCAGAGGTGGACGAGGCTGCTGGCTGAGATACAGCCTGTGGGGTGGTTTTGGCTCAGGGGAGAAGAGCAGGATTAGGGGGAAGTGAGGAAAGCCAGGATCTGAGCATGATGGTGAGTAAGGTGGGAGGAGGAAGCTGAGGTGGGCTGGGACCATGCAGGACCAACCCGAGGATGCCCTCCTCGGCGGATACAGCTGCCTCTGCTCCCACCCCAGGCCCAGCTGGAGCCAGGGACACAGCTGTCCCACCTGCTGCCCTCACCCAACTGTCCCCAGAGCAGAAAAGTAACCCCAGGCTGGCCCAAGAAGACACTGCCCCATCCTGGGTAGCCAATGAACCAGAGACACCCGAGGGTGGGAAGGCTCTTACTTTTCACTCTTCCTAGATGCTGGGAGGCTCGGGAGGCGCTCAGCTCCACGCTTAGCAGGTCAGGAGGGTCCATAGGGTTCCCCAGATACAGCCTGTGGGGACAGAGCCAAGTCAGAAGGCGGAGCAGAGCAGTGAGGAAACATCTGGCACAAGTGCTCAGCTATCCTGGGTGTGAGGCAGAACGTGAAATCCTGAGTGTGTGCAGGGGACAGCGCCATGCTTCTGACTCCTTCCTCTAGATGCAATTCCTCTGCATGTCTCAACGGTAACCAGGCCAGTGCAAGGAAAGGACACCTGACCCCAAGCTGAAAAGCCTAGGATTTCAGGGGGTCTCCAACTACACCACAAGCACAAAGCTTATCCCTGACAACCCCACAACAGCCCAACCCATGCTAGCCACCCACTTGCTAGCCCACTCTCCTCAGCCCTGCAGACTCGGCTAAGAGGCCAGGGACAGAGGAGGCAGGAGGCACTCTCTGTTGAACTGCAGGAGGTGAGGATAGCTAGGACGCCTGCCCTGCTCCCCACTCACTCCAGCCCCTGTGCCAACTGTTAGTATCTGAGGCTTAGTCATTGGGGCTGATTAAAGCCCGGAAGAATGGGGCTGGGCTGGCCACAGCATGCCAGGAGTAGGGCAGAGGGCGCCAGCCTCCTGGAGGGGCCTGCATTCTCTTGCTCCAGCTTTCACGGGCCTTCACCTGGTCTGTGGGAGGCAAGGGACCCAGGCCAAACCTTCCAACAGCCTGGTGTTTTGGTGTATGGGGCACAGAAGGTAGGGATCTGGCAGGAGAGCTCCCCAGGGGGCTTCCTTAGGGCAGGTGGGGCATCTAGAAAGTGCCTGGTTCACCACATGCCCTCCAGTGACCAACCTTTTACTTAAAAGGAACTGCGAGGCCCGCCCAAGCAGAGGGAGCTCTGCTGAGGAATGTGGGGTAGTAAGGGACTGTGCCACTTGTGTATAGCCTGTTCACAAGGGCTCCCCTGGTCTGGGAAGCAAGCTCCTCCTGCTTGGGCTGCATACAGATGTGAGCCTTCTTGACTCCACATCTGTGGAGCTCACTTCTGTGGAACTCTGGGACCACTGATGAAGCCTTCCTCCTGAGCTGCGAGTCATCTTCCCAGTGTGCCAGGAGTGGTGATGGCTGGAGCCCTGGTGGCTTTTCACCAAAAGGGAACGAGAGACCATCTTGGAACCTTCTGACCCATTTTTCCTACAGTGAAAAGCTATGGATCAGAGTCCCTCGGCCTGCTGCTGTGGCAGAGGAAGCTCAGGGAGGGAAAAGAGTGAGGACAGCCCAGACTGCCTCATTCCCAAAGTGGCCTGGCAGTGACAACCAGCTCCCAGTTTAGGATCTGCTCCCTGGCCTCTACACTTCCGCCCTATTCTGCCTCCACATCCTATTCTAGTATGTGGGCTTCTGGAACAGAAAAATGCTAAGAGAAATGAATATATGCAGAGCTAGAGGAACATGGTGAGGGCAAAAGGGAGAGAAAATGCAGCAAGTGACTTTGCTTATTCATGCCTCATACACCCACAGACCTAAGCCAGAGCAAAAGCATCACCACATTCTGCCGCTCCTCTCTGCAGAGCCTGTTTGCAGTGCTGGCTTCTGAGAATTATTAACCCAGCACAGCCTCCAGTGCGACACCAGAGTACTAAGTAAGGCAGATATCGCAGTGAAAAGAATGAACAATGTGATAGTACAGAAAAACCAATTCCATCTGGTATATGAGTGAAGTGGCACACAGGAAAAGGATTTCAGAGGACAAACTGTAAGCCCCAGAGTTGGCAGACTGCAGGGAGAGGGAAGTGGCCACATGGAGTTGTGCACGTGTGCATGGCTGAAGCACAGGGCTGAGTATGTATGAGTTTCAAGGTATGGCACAGTGGTGCTCTCTGCAGGGGACCGCAAGTACCCACCCACAGGAGGGACACAAGATGTCTTCTTTTTTTTGGGGGGGGGTCCGGTCGTGGGGTCTGAACTCTGGGCCTGGGCACTGTCCCTCAGCTCTTCAGCTCAAGGCTAGCGCTCTACCACTTGAGCCACAGCACCACTTCCGGCTTTTTTCTTTTTGCTTATGTGGTGCTGAGGAATCGAACCCAGGGCCTCATGCATGCAAGGCAAGTGCTCTACCACTGAGCCACCTTCCCAGCCCCCAGATTTACTCTTCAACCAGGTTCCAGGAGTAGTAAGAGATGCAGGAGACAAAGGAAGTACCATGGACTTCAGTACTAGGCTTGGGGCCACTCCTGCATGTGGACCTTCGAGTTGTGGAGGTGCCCTCCCAGTGCTCCACGGAACAGGACTGCAGACCACGGCCATTGCTACCCTGCCATTTCCTTGGGATCAGTCGTACTCTTGCATTACAATGAGGAGTGCAGAAGGGAACTCAGAGCTCCTAGTCTGTCTGGACTGTGGGTCTTTCAGTCCTGACTCTGCCCGCAGACAAAAACCCTGTGCTGACACAGTCTAACCTATGATCTAGGCCCAGGCAACAGGCAAAGACCAGAGCAAGAAGGACAGAACTTTCTCCTGAATACTCCATATGCCCCAGGGTTCTGACAGGCTATAAGGCTTTGCCTGACAATGGGGGAGACTATTGGAGGGCTAAGGCACAAATGGTGACAGTCTCATGCTGTTGTGCATTTGTGGCACCAAGCTGCCTGCCCTCAACACCACCTCCTCTTCCTTACTTTATCTGTACCACACCCGGAACCATACAAAGAGCCTCCTCCAAAACACAGCCAGTCAAGAGAGCCTGACAGGGATGGAGGAAGAGGCCATGTCTGAGCCACCTGAGAAGGTGTTAAGGCCTAGCTGGGGTGGCAGACCATCCTACAGACCCACAGTCAAACCCCATGAGTAAGCAGCCTTTGGGGACACGAAGGACAGGGCAGGGTTCCCATAGTTGCCTCTTGGTAAACAGGCCCAGCCCACCACCAGACATAGATACCCTGTCATTACTCCCTGCCTTCAGGGAGGGAAGGGCAGGAAAGGAAGGAAGAAGAGAGTGCAACACCCTGAGATGGGACAAGATCTATCTAAAAATAGCAGAGCTATTCCAAGAAGGAAGAGAAAAGGTCCCCACTTCACAGAGCTGTCCATGAAAGCTGTGGGGCAGTAATGTCCTCCTGGCACAATGGACCCTGCTGCTGCTCTCCTTCACCACCACCAGCTGCTCAGTGGCTCCCATCACTCCTCTGAAGAGTGGCATACCCTTTCCTCTTCCCAACAATAGTTCAGTTCCTCACACAGATGCCTCCTTGGGACTACTTCTGAGAGTAAAAGACACCTGCCCTCATAACAGGCACATCCCAGGCAGAACCCCAGCCGGTTCAAAATCATGCAGCTACTAGAGCATAGGAGTAGATCCAGACCCACTAAAACAGCAGTTTCCCCAGGTAAGACTCAAGCAATCGTTCTAAGATGACCAATGCTCCGCCTTCCTGCCCACATGTGCTCAGTGGAGCTGAGATGCCTGCAATGCAGAGGGCCTTCCACAGGCCTGCTCCTGCTCTAGCCATGCTGTCTCCTTGCCATGAACAGACCAGAGTCTCCATGGCAAAAGCAGTGACAGCAGTCACTGGATGCAGTGACAAAAGTAGACAGCCAGAACAAGGAGGCCCAGGGGGAGTCAGAAGAGGGCCCAGAAATTCCAGTGTGAACTTCCTACTTTCTACTGTTCTTAGGCCTCCTGGCAATAAAGAGAACAGAAAAGGGTGCCTGGGCTGAGAATTGCTCCTAAGGCTACACTTTGCTCCTGCCCTCACTAATGTCATCCAAAAATGACTGAATAATGATGCTACCTAAACATCTGGTGAAGAACCCCACACACACCAAGCCCCATCTCTGTGTCCTGGGGCCCCTGGCTGGAGGGACAACCCAGATACCTGATTCCTTCCTCTCTAGCTGCAACAGAGAGCAGAGGTTCCAGGGCCCAGCAAGCCCAAGTACTTGCAAATGGATTTAAAACTCTGGCTCCCAATACCACTTCGATAAAAACAACACAAAAAGGTAGCTAGCCGCACCTCCTCCAAAGAAGGCCCTTCAGGAAAGATTGTCACTTGTCCTTCTGAATGTGGACAGGACATCCTCAGCTCAGTTCATAAATACACTGCCTGGTTCTATGAGCAGCTCTGAACCTACAGAATCGATCAGAGCTGAAGACAAGTGGATGCCCAGGCTCTAGTCTCGGAAACATACCAAAGACAGCTTCAGCAAGAAAGAATCATCAAGAAAAGAGCACAGATAAGGAGAAAGCCAAGAGCCAGAGAAAAGAAACCCACATGGATAAACTCAGACCCAAGCATGCAAGAATAGAGCCTGATCTCCTGGAGACATAGAGACAGACTGAGGCAAACAAACAGAGCTATCCAGGGACTGAGAAGGCAGAGGAAAGCTCTAGTACCACCGACACACAGGCCCACTCCTGAAGCCTCACCGGCTGTTGTGGCCTCCTTCCCCTTACCTCCCACCTTCTGAGCAGCTCCAGGGACAGAGGGCAGACACAGTGGAGGAGGAGCCCTGTGAGCTGAACCACTGGAGCAACAGCCAGTGGTAGAAGCAGCAGCCTGGGGCTAACGAGTGCCCATGGTGGAAGGGTGGGACCAGGCACACCCACAACTGCCTCCCAGGAAGAACTGTTCCCCTGGCACCTCCAGGACCCAGAACGCTAGACACACACACACACACACACACACACAGAGAGAGAGAGAGAGAGAGAGAGAGAGAGAGAAGCTCCCGAGACACCCCAAAGGAACACAGGCTCCCTTGAGAGCAGGAGATGGGCGCTGGTAAGGACCTAAGGCCATAGGAGCCGTAAGAGAGCTGGTTAGGTCTGAGGCAATCTGGCCCAGAGGCAGGAATGGCTACAGATCCAGACTTCCAGCATAAGGATCTGCTGGGTACCTCTGGAGGAGATGCCTCCCTTAACCTGCCTCTGTCCAGACTTCCCCCCGAGCTCTGCACCATGTCTCCAGCCCCGTTCCTAGCCTTTCCACTCCAAACTCACACAGGCTGTTCACTGTTGTCTCTAACTCCCTCCCCCTATCACCACCAAATTCCCAAGCACACCCACCCTCTGCAACCTGCTAGAATGCTATTCCTGTCCCTTGTCATTTGGGCCCAATGTGAGGAAGCCCTTGTCTGAGACACACAGGCAAGCGCCACAGTAGTTGCTGCTGAGTTGTACACATGCAGCTTCCAGGGCCCACTCCACCAATGACTCAGAGGCTAGCCCCACTCACTAGCACCCAGGGGGCACAAGGTATAACTGAATATCCTCACAGGTATCACAGCCTGGTTCTGAGTCAGAGGAGGGGAGTACAGGGAATTCCCTCTGCCTCACTTTTCTTCCTGGTCGTAACACTCACCCCTTGCCCCAAAGGCATCCCCAGCTGTCCTGCCCCAACCAGTTCCTCCACTACCCTGGGCACTAGAGATAGGAAGTAGAGCCAGCAGAGGGCAGGGCTGAAGGTAGGAACTATGACTGCATTGCGGGAACCTCACTTGGGAGGTGCTGTTTTGTGCTAAGACATGCATTTCTAAGCAAGTCAGAGAGAGAGAAGTCCTTACTAGGAGGGACTGAGAAGCAAGGATGAAAGTGGGAAGCTCAAGACTGGGAAGCCCTAGAAGGAAGATGTGAGGCTCAGCAGGAAAGATGGAACTCTGACAAAAAGATGGACCTGAGTGGGCTGTTTTGGGGTTCTCAAAGGTATCCAACAGGTAGTCAAGAGTTCATATACTGGAGATTTGGGGGGCAGAGAGGATGAGAAGAGGAATGCTCAGGAATTCTAGTGTTTCTGCAGCTCCAGAGCTAGGCTGGGCTTCTACCTACTCTTCACAATGGCAGCCTGGCCCTATCCACACAGGCAAGGCTGAAGCCCAGTAGGAGAAGGTAACAGGTATGTTAGGCAGGGAAAATCCCATCTGGACAGCAGCGGGTCTTGCCTCCAGGCTCTCAGGAGCCTGACCAAGGCCTGTCACTCCTCACTCTGATGACACTGGTCCCTCCCATGGCAGCTTGTGGGCTGCTGTGAGAATCTTACAGGTAGAAGAGATCTCTGTTTCAGGGACCCCAGTACAGAGCAGGGCCCTACCTTCCCTCAATGACGGTGATGACATCATTCATCTGGATGTGCAGCTTGTCTGGTTCCTCAAAGTCCTGAAGGGCACGCATGTCGGTAGGCTGGGCCTGAGGGCAAAGACAGGTCACTGACCTTCCAGGACTAAGCCTCAGGCGGCCCCTTGCTTAGACCTGACCAGCTCCTGGGGGTAGACATGCCTCTCACCTCCAGCAAGAAATCCCGAAGGGCCACAAATGTGGGTCTGTCCTCTGGCTTGTGAGCCCAGCACTGGACCATGACATTGTAGATATCCTGAGGGCAGTCTTCGGGCCGAGGCAGGCGCTCCCCTTCTTTATCAATCTTATGCAGAATCTGCCGTGGAGAGGTGCAGTTACCGTTCAGCTCTTACCTTCTTTCTGGCCATCTTATAACTGGGCAGCTGGCTGCATGCTTGTCCTCCAAAGAAAAGATCTTCTCTTGGGGAGGGTCTCACTCTTAGCTCTTTAGACCCTTATTTGTCACATGTGGGGCCTCAGAACAGGTAGATAACAAGTGGAAAGGGCAACAAGAGTCAGGACCCCTGACTCACCAGGGTGACCTATCTTTACTCAGCTTTCCATAGGTCATGAAGACATTGGGAATGTGGGAGATGGGAGTCCACCAAATGAAAGTAAGCTCACACAAGGCCAGCTTGGGAACCAGGGATGGAATTACCCCTACCTACCAACAGGCAGTGCATCCCCAGCCTGCTCACCTGGCTACCATTGAGGCCAATCCAGGGCTCCTGGCCATAGGTGAACATCTCCCACAATGTGACTCCAAACATCCAGGTATCGCTGGCATGGGAAAAAGTCCGTGTCTTCAGGCTTTCAGGGGCACACCTAACAGAAACAAGAGTCAGAGAAGGCCTCTCAAGGACTTCCCACCTGCTTTAGCCCCCAGTGGATATAAACTAATCATTCAACAAGCATTTACTGTTGCCCTGTTTGCCAGGCATTATTGAGGGCCATGGTGAGGAGCAAAAGGGACAAGACTTCTTGACTACATGGTATACAGCCTTGCAGAATATTATCTATACTCGGGTCCTTTATGCAGCCGGGATGGGAAGAGAAAGGAGGAGTTTCTCAGCCAAAGAGCAGGAAGAGGAAGATCAGAAGACTTCAGGACAGAAGAGATAGACTGTTCTCTATCTAGTATGAGGATGACAATTCCAGATTTGGGGAAGATCCCAGGATTTGGGTCATTTCAGCAGGAAGGTGTGGGTGGGAATTTCAGACAGGGCCTGAGGAAGAACCGAAATACAAGGAAATAGTCTCACTAGTTTTCCCCCAAATCCACCCATACTTGCTGTGGTTTTTCCACCTGAGTGAACGAAGAAATGTTACTACAGTAATGCTAGAAAGGTCTCCCCAAAGGTGGGTTGAATGCAGAGTGAGGAGTGAGCATCCTGAATGCAATCAAAGGATCTATCATGCCACTCAAAAGGGACTGGCTCAGGCCAGTCACTCAAGATCCCTAAGCCACATTCTCCACATCTTTGAAATGGGAACAATAACCTGTGCACTCCATAGGGTTGTTTTAATAGGCTATAATAAAAAGAAAAGTGCTGGGGCTGGGAAGGTGGCTCAGTGGTAGAGCGCTTGCCTTGCATGCATGAGGCCCTGGGTTCGATTCCTCAGCACCACATAAACAAAAAGAAAAAAGCCGGAAGTGGCCCTGTGGCTCAAGCGGTAGAGCGCTCACCTTGAGCTGAAGAGCTGAGGGACAGCGCCCAGGCTCAGAGTTCAGGCCCCACGACCGGACCCCCCCCGCACCCCCCCAAAAAAAAAGAGTAAATCTGGTAGTCAGAAGAGGCCCAGCTCCAGGCCTGCCAGCAGAAAGAGACAGGCAAGATGGTATTGAGAGAAGCGCACGGATTCTGTAGAGGTAATGACTAGGTTAGAACCCCGAGTCTGCTGCAATCATCTGACAAGACATGTCACTTGTTGGGACGTGTTTCTTTATTTGTAAGCTGTAGAGAAAGTTGCCTGACCCACCTGGGGAGCTTAGGAGAAGACTGTGAGCAAACAGCCAGGCCCTGTTCAGGGAGTGGCAGGTCATGGAGGTACTGATGGGGGTTGGAGGATACTGACTGCCCCAGGCCTTACCCTTCACACTCCCTTTCTGCTACGGTGACCAAGGTGATCTTGGTCTGAGAAGAGTCTCACTCCCAGGGACTCTCCTAGACCTGGTGTTCATTATGCTCTCTCTGTCAAATAGAGCTGAGAACTATTGGTGGCGTGGGCAGAACACACGGACACTGTGTGTGGGGCCCTTCCCTCGCAATGTGGTGACCTCTGTGGCTGGCCTGTCAGCCCAAGACATCAGCCAGCCCCTCCAGAACAGCTTTATCCATACGGGACATGGCGACAGCGACCCCCGCCACTGCTGGGGCTTCCCCGACAGGATTGACGAGTGAGTACCCAGAGGCACTAACCTAACCGAACCCTTCCAGGGCTTCCAGAACCGCACACAAGTTCTTGCAGTTCCTCATCCTCATCTCTGTCTCCCCCCTGGAATCCATTTTTCACTAGTGTGTCCACCGAGTAGGTTAAATTTCTCAGTGCACTTGAATTAGAAAGTGCTGCTCAAACCAAGCACTGGTGGCTCATCTCAGGAGGCTGAGATCTGAGGATTGCACTTTGAAGCTAGAAAGTCCATGAGATTCTTATCTCCATTTAATCACCAGAAAACTGGAAATGGAGCTGTGGCTCAAAGTGGGTAAAGTGGTAGCTTTGAGCAGAAAAGTTCAGGCAGACCCTATGACAGACAAAAGTGCTGCTCTAAGTAGGGGATACAAACAATACTTCTGAAGGGCTGGTCCCAAGTCTTTCCCAAGGCTAATATGCAAGGGGTGGTTAGATGGGTCTGGTGGTTTTTCCAAGTGGGAGTCGGACCTCACTGTGGCAGCTCCTAACCCCAATTTTGCTGATAGTGCAAAGCCATCAGGCAGATGGGAAGGTGGCTCAGTGGTAGAGTACTTGCCTTGCATGCCAGAGGCCCTGGGTTCAGTTCCTCAGCACCACATAAGCAAAAAGAAAAAAAGCCGGAAGTGGCACTGTGGCTCAAGTGGTAGAGCGCTAGCCTTGAGCTGAAGAGCTGAGGGACAGCGCCCAGGCCCAGAGTTCAGGCCCCACGACTGGACCCCCCCAAAAAAAAATTACCCAGGGGACCCTTTGCCGTATCAGTTAGGGAGCACAGCAGGACTTGGAGGGCCCCTGACTTCATCAGCTTGGAGAGAGTAACCACAGCACAGGCAGGAGGAAGGGTATACCTTCAGGTTGCTCCCTGCCTCTCTATCCCTTCCTACCCATCACACTCACCATCTTCATGGGTGGTGTGAGTACCACCCCATAGAGACGAATAAGATTTCTGTGGTCAAGGGAATGCATGGCATTGACCTCCCGGATGAAGTCGTCCATGGCCTCTGGCTGGCTCAGCACATCAGGCTTCAGGCACTTCACAGCCACACTCACCTGCCAGAAGTGGGATTTGCTAGGGGTTAGGACTCGCCTGACCCCCAACACTGAGCCTACGGGCTCCTCCTTCCAATTTGCCTCTAACATCCTTACCCAGGGAGTTTGAGGCTGCAGGCCTTACAATCTAGATAGGGCTGACCCAGGTCTATGAAGTATATGAAGTCACTTAATTGTGCCCCTTAAGTTATATATGTCACCCCCAAAGGAAGTTTTTTTTAATGTAATACACCACAGAAAAAGGATAAGACTACGATTAAAAAATGTTATTTCTAGCTGGGCGCTGATGGCTCATGCCTATATCCCTGGCTACTCAGGAGTCTGAGATCTAAGACATGGTTCAAAGCCAGCCTGGACAGGAAAGTCTGTGAGACTCTTTTTTTTTTTTTTGCTGGACGTGGGACCTGAACTCTGGACCTAGGCACTGTCCCTCAGCTCTTCATCTCAAGGCTAGCACTCTACCACTTGAGCCACAGTGCCACTTCCAGCTTTTTCTGTTTATGTGGTGCTGAGGAATTGAACCCAGGGCCTCATGCATGTAAGGCAAGCACTCTGCCACTGAGCCACCTTCCCAGCCCATCTGTGAGACTCTTAACTATAATTAATCACAAAACTTTAAGTGGAGCTGTGGCTCCAGTGGTAGAGCACTAGCCTTGAGCAAAAAAGCTCAGGTACAATGTCCAGGCCCTGAGTTCAAAAAACAAACAACAACAACAACAACCAAACAACAAAAACACAAAAAGTTATATCCAAATTCTGTTTCCTAGCAAAACCCCTGGGGGTGGGAGGGCTGAAGTGCTCACTCTGCTTCACCCAAGTAGTAGGATTATAGGTACTTTCCAAATAGTATCCAGATTTTTATACTAAGTGAATTATTTTTTACTTGAAAATAAAACAAAGTGCTTAAAGCTGAGCATGGATGAGGGTGAGCAATTCTGCAACCCTGCCCCCACACAGAGGGCAGACGAGCCTCTACCACTCTCAGAGTCTACCCCGCCTTCCCGGTGGCTGCCCCAAGCCGCAGAGCTTACCGTTTTCCCCGCAGGGGCATCCCACTCACCCCTGCGCACCACACCAAATGAGCCATCTCCTAGCTTCTCCAGGAGGCGCAGGTCCTTTTCCCCAATGAGGCAGGTGAGGCTCTGCAGGGCCCCCTCACCTGCTGGGCCACCAGTGGTGGGCAAAGGCTTCTGGAAAGTGCTCTGAGAGTGATGAGGGGGAAACTCAGCCTCCAGCCGCTTTCCACTGAACACCTGTTTGAAGGCAACCAGGGGCCAGATGGAACTCAGGGCTCCAGAACCAATCCCTCAGTGCAGTCACACCCTACTGGGTCTACCTCATGGTCCGCAGCTGGGCTCATGTTATCCTGACTTTGCCAAAGTGCCAGAGAACAGCCTGGTGAGCAGATCACACTTCTTCCAGAGCTTACCCCAACCAGGAACCACAGCCTCAGTACAGCCTCATGTTGGTGCCAGAAACAGCCTGTGCCTGCAGTACCCTCAAATTCAGCTACAGGGACAAACCCAGGCAAAACCCTCTAGGAACCACTTCCCCACCCCCGGACTGGAGTCTCCTTCCCATCCTCCATTCCACTCTCCCCTTCCTATACCCGCTATCCAGCCCAGACTCCTGCCCCTAACCCACAAAGGTGGAGTAGGAGACTGAGGGGCCCTCCACAAACACCTTCCTGTCCATTTTTAGCCTTGGCCCCTTCTCTGGTTTTAACCATTTGGCGCTGTCTGTCTCTACCCTCCCCAGGGAGTCGGCTGCCCTTCATCCTGCCCAGGGGAGAGGATAATTTTAGTCTGAGGTTGAAGAGTGAGTGTGAGTGTGTGTATGTGTGTGTCTGTGTGTCTATGTGGTACAATGAAGCTAGCCCTTGCTGGAGAAGGGCCTGGAAAGACAGCTGGGTTTCTGGAGAGGCGCCTAGGGCTGAGGCCTGAGAAAGAAGGAAGACTGGAGGAGTTTCTAAGGCCTGGGCTGATGAAGGAGGGGACCAAAAGTCAAGGGGTAGGAAGAAGGGAACCAGGAACTGCAGAACTGACCATAGCAGTGGTCTGCTCACCTCTACCAGGGCACCAAAGCTACAGCTGCAGACTAGATCCCTTCCCCCACCTCCAAAGTCTCCCTAGAAGCTGGCTGAGCCTTATCTACATGCGCAAGGGGGCATTTCAGCCTAAGAACCGCTTCTTGGCTTCTTCTCCTTCCTTCTCACAAGTAACTGGAATGCCTCGTGTTTGCAAGCAATATTTACCTCACAAGGCCTTTCACAGCCATTATTTCAACAACCCTGCAAGGTGAGCTCTAGCACACTTTACTGAAGAAATGACTAGTTTAGAGAGGGTCACTGGCCATTCAGAGACCCACTGTGAGCCAGTGGAAGATCCCACTCACATACTGTTGCTCTCGCCTGACTTCACAGCCTCAACACACTCATCCTTCCCTAGAACCTGGGCTAGAGGCCAGCACTGTGTCCCCAGAAAAGGCCATAGGATCCCAAGAGACAGCCCCCTTGCCAGACTGAATCCAGGAAAGCTCTACTGCCCAATCCCAGTCCAGCTGTGCTGCCCTGCTCACCCTCCCCCCCACCCGAGGCCAGAAGTGGGGAGGGAGGCCCTGGCTGGCTCACTTCCTCTCCCATTGTCTTCCAGACAATGGGCAAAGTTCCACTGAGTCAGATCAGGGACTCTACACCACAGACCCAAATTTGGACAAGGTGATGGGGGCAGGCTCTGAGGAAGGAAGCTAGGCCTGATGACCAGAGAAACCTACACTAAAGAGAATGGGGGAAGGGAAGAAGCAAGTCAAAGGTGTCCAGACAGTCTCCACCACCACCTAACCCTGGACACTGGCCCAACACTCAAAGGAAGGCGCCCTTGTCAACGAGCCCCAGCTCCCTGTACGCCAAGAGGAGCTGTAAAGACCTCATTGCACACAGGCTGCTCACGTGTCTGTCTCTGGCAGACAGACACTTAGCTGGGCAGCGCAGCTCCACAAGTGCCCTGACTGATAAGACACTGGAGGAGGGAAGTCTATACAAAGTGCAAAGGAACATTGTGAGATTATACCTGTTGGGGAATGGGGGGAGGTTCCTAGCCTGTGAGTGCACACGCGTGCATACACACACACACACACACACACTCTCTCTCTCTCTCTCTCTCTCTCTCTCTCTCCCCCCTACCTTGCTCATCCATGACTTGCGTTTGTACATAGCCTTCCTCCTCTTCACAGCCTCCCACAGCCGCCGCTGGCCTGCAAGAAGGAAGGGAATTTAGTGCTGTCAGGCAGTTCATAACACCTCAAAGAAGCTGTTGGCCACCCAGCGCAATGACACTAACTAAATCTATCTCAACCATCTTCACTGAGCTTCATTCAACCAGACAGTCATTGCATTCCACTTCTACGCAAATGGATGCAAGTGTGTAGGCAACAGTTCAACAACAGTGGTCAACTACTCCCAACTCTCCAGAAAAATTAAACAGATAGAATTGTCTCAATTTGAATTTTTTTTTTCCATACAAAGGTCTTATGTTACTAGCTTAAGGCACTAATTATCCAGGTCAAAAATAGCAAAAGTAGTGTCTAATTTGGCCCATAATGACCATGTTGCTATTTCAAATTGAATATATTGTAAGTTTCTAATGTCGTATAAAGAACATTTAATGTTAATGATGTTAGTAACTGCTTCTGGATGACAGTCATTACTTTTAGGATAAATATAGAGAAGTGAGTCCAACTGAGAATAGAATGTGCATATAAGATGGGTACCAGTGACTTACACCTGAAATCCTAGTTACTCAAGAGGCTGAGATCTAAGGATCACGGTTCGAATCTAGCCTAGGTAGTAGAAAACTATCTGTGAGACTCTTATCTCCAATTAACCATTCAAAAACTAGAAGCTGCTCTGTGGCTCAAAGTGGTAGAGAGTTATAGCTTTGAGCAAAAGATACTCAAGGGTTAGGCCCTGAGTTCAAGTCCCATGACCACCACCACCAACAATAACAAATGTGCATGCTTTAGCAAATCATCTGAGAGTTTTCTCTTCTGTAAATCTCTGGCATTGACTCTAATGGTATTCAGAGTGATTAACAGAACAGGTTTAATTCCACACTTATAAATGTGAGGAGACAGAGAAAATACATCCTATAATTTCTGATCAAGCAAAATGGGTAGGTAGCCAGAGCTTTAAAATAGACTCCATTCTCCTCAAATTCCAATTCGCCTTTACAAATATGAACTGTTCGCAATATGCCCATTAGCAGCATCCACTGTGTCTTCCTGACTCACTCAGGGGCTCTAGGATACTCAGGCTGCTACCCCAGAGAATCACAGGCCCAGGAAGGGATTCTTCTATGTGTTAGGCCACTTGAGCATACAAAGTAAACGGTCAGAGGCAAAAAGACAAGCAAAGCCCATGCCCCACCTACCAGGCCGGCCCATGCCGATCTTTTCCAGGTCCTCGTTCTTGACATATTCAAAATGGGATAGGCGAGTAACATTGAGGTCATCGCGGAGCCGCAGGAAGTACTGCTGTAGTTGCACTTCAGACAGAAGCTCCAGCAGCCAGCCTGTGCCCTCCTCTGGCTGCATGCTGCTGCTTCCCAGCCTCTGTAGGGAGGAAGAGAGGCTGAGGGACCAAGGGATACAGGGAGGTGGCAGGGTGAGCTGGCCCTCAGCTCACCCACACCTACCCTACAGCTTCCTGAAAGGACTCAAAATGCTGCTTGGTCCCCAAAAACAACTGTGTCCACTTCCCCCTATTCTTATACCAGCAAAAAGGGTAGACTTAGGGCGGCTGAGATCTAGCCTTGGTGCCAGAATAATCAGGAGTCAGGTTCTTACTCCCAAATCTGTGATCTACAATTGAATGATCTGATATTAACCTCATGCTTGCGTTTCTCATCTGCTCTTAAAGTCTCCAGGAGTCACAAGCCCTTTAAAAACTGAATTTAGGCCAGGTACCGGTGGTTCACACCTGTAATACCAGCTACTCAGGAGGCTAAGATCTGAAGATTGCAGTTCGAAGCCAGCCTGGGCGGGAAAATTCATGTGACTCTTATCTCCAATAAACTACCAAAAAAGCTGGAAGTGGCCCTGCACACACACACACACACACACACACACACACACACACACACGTGCCCTCCTGCCCCCAAATTGTATTTAAAACTATCAATTATCTCTCTAGAAAATGTACATGCTCTTACTTCCAAACTTTTAAATAGAAACCTGGTGGTGGAGGGGGTGGTTGGTGTCTTGGAAACCCATCTAAGACAGGGTTCCTCACATCATAGAGACCTCACAGAAAGACCGAAGTCAAGCTCCTCCCAGTGCCTGAAATCACAAGAGCCTTTCCTACTCAAAAGGCCTTCAGGGCTACAAACATAAAGGAGAGAGGGAGGGGCGTGGACCCAAGCTGGCTTTCAAACCCCACTATCAATGGGTACCTCACTTGTTGATAGTTGTCACAAGAGATTAAGGCTCAGTGTTATCAGTGCTTGCTATTTTTTCTATACCAAACATCTAAATTCATTGAAAATTTTGCCATTAATTTTTAAAATGATATATGTATATGTTAAAATATTCAAAAGGTACATAGAAGTCTTATTCCTCCTTCTATATAACATCTCTGAAGCCAGCTGTTAATAATGTCATTTATGTGCCCTTTGAGACTTTGTTTTTAACCCCACAAATAGTACACATTACCCATAGTACCCTGCTTCTCATTTTCATCTTTCTCCTGCTATCAACAAATTCCAGTTTGAAATACACAGAGGGGGTGACTTTGATCAAGACACTCTGAATGCAGCAAGGACTTGTGAAAATAAAACCCCCTTGTCTAACTAATTCTTTTTGTTTGTTTTGTTTTGGGTTTTTGGGGGGGTTTTTTTGTGCCAGTACTAGGACTTCAAATCAGGGTCTTGAGCTTTCTTTTGACTCTTTTTGCTAATAGCTGGAGCTCTACCACTTGAGCCATACCTTCACTTCTAGCTTTCTGCTGATCTTGTGTCTCTATAATAATTCTCTCTCTGATTGCCTGCCTGTACTCACTTTGAACCTCAATCCTCAGTAGCTAGGATTGCAGGTATGACCCACCAGCACATAGTTTAATGCTAGTTTTTAAAAGGACACACACACACACACTGTGCTGGCAAAACAAAACACATCTGTAGACCACAATCAGCCAATGGGTATCAGTGAATGACCTCTAGCCTACACCCTCATGGGTCTAGTAGTACTTTCAAAGCTACTATCAGACATCAAACCTATCCCCATCCAAGTTAGACATCTCACATCTGAGGGCTTGGTCAGACACTTCTGACCCTGCCTTTATTTCCAATGAGGAAGACCGATGTTGGGGAAAAGCCAGCTATTAGGTTATGGGCCAAGTGACTCCTTCTCCACCTAAATATGGCCTCATCCTCAACTCTCAACACAGTTTAAGATGTACTAAAAGGAATGGGCACCAACAGCACAGGCACAACACATGTTCCCAGTGGTGGCCAACACAGTGCCAGGAGCTCAGAGTTTACCGTCAGCTCAAGGCAATACAGAGAGTGACAAATGGGAACAAGAAGCCCTCCATTTGCCCCCAAGCGCTAGGCCAGGCAGTTGGGCCTGCTGCCCAACTTCATTTGGGTTACATAAGGGCTGCATATCCCACTATGGAAGTTTTGGTTGTTGCAATGTATGAGGGAGCATTAATCACACTGAATGGGTGACTGGAGGAAAACATGAGTTATCCTGCAATCCACAGGACAGTCTCAACCACTATCCCAAATACAACCCAACTTAATGTAGGTGACAAACTTGTTTGTAATCATCCAAACCTAGATTCAATTTCCATTTCACATATGAACAACAAAATATTTTTGTAGTTTCAATATAAACTGAATTTTCCTGGAAAAGAACTATGTATATACATTGGAGAGAAACTAGACTTTGTTTTAGAACACAGCACAAGTCTATTATTTGGATGATTGTCAATGAAGGCAATCCACCCTTATCTGAAAACATCCCTTGAAGATGGTGCCATTAGCATCTGAGGCTTTAGCATCTCACTACTTTCATATGGTATCCAATGTCCTAACACACTACAACCTCTTTTATTTCTCCAGTTGGCATTGCAATGGCTTTTTGACTATACACAGTTAATGTGGACATTCCTATTAATTTTACTTGTGAAACAGCAGAGAAAATAGAATACTTCAAAACTGTACTCTATGCCAGTTCTAAATATTCCCTGCATTCCCTTACTTAACCTAAAAAAAAAAAAAAAATTGAGGCAAAGAAGGGAGGCCACTGCTTTTCAGAATAAAATCCAAAGGTGCACTATGAAAACCACTGGCCATGGGGCAGCTCCTCCCCTCAGCCCGGCCAGGAGGAGCCAGCCGGCATTCCCTCCATTTCTGCCTTGCCCCTGGGACAGTGACCCCACTAGCTACATAGGGCTCCACTTCCAGATGGGCTCAAGCAGTCTACGGGTCTTCTCCTCAACCCCACCCCGCAAATCCCTGGGTTTCAGGTGCTACTTTTGTCCTCCTGTGGGCTCTAGAAAGCAGCTTAAAGCTATGTAGGCCCTGGATGGTCAAGGCTAGGAAAACCCAGAGGCCCCTCCCCTGGGGCTACTTAGAAAGCACAGCACACAAGCTAACAAAACACGCTGCTCAGGGTATGTGTGGGAAGACTGGGAAGAACACTGGTCTCCTGGTGAGGAGAAAGGAGTCAGGGTTCCAGTCCTGCCTGTACTGCTAAGCCAGGGAGGCCCCAGACAGACCACCTCTCCTCCAGCTCCCATTTCTTTGTCCACAAAGTACACAGCATTGCTGCAGCCTCCACCAGCTCACTCAGTCAGTCGCCAATTCAGCATGTGCCTGAACCCCAGCACAGCATGGTGTGCGTACCTGTGTTCGACCATGTGACTCTGTGGCTAGTGTGGACACACACACACATAACCTGGCTCCTGCAGCTCCTGCATACATCTTCCTAACACACATGGTCATGAATAAAGCAGCTGGAAAGGAAAGGCCAGTCAGCCCACACTACTCAGTCAAGCCCTCAAGGGAAGAGTTTCTCAGCCATCCCCAGTCCAGCTCGGCCCCTCACTAAAATATGGGGGCTGAGGGGCTGACCCAGTCCCCCACTCCACACTCACTGTGTACAAACGTCGCCGCAGTCTGGCCAGGAGAGGAAAGGAGAGCTCTAAGCCAGGGAACCGACGCGCTACCGGCATCTCCACAGAACCAAACCTCTGAGCAGGTCACTGTGGCTATGGCCTACTAAGTGACAAGCAAGAGCCTCAGCTCCCGAGCTTTGTGCTCTGCCCGAAGGCCAGTTAGCTTGGGGGCTGTCCCAGGAGTCTCCAAATCCCACACTGGTGTGGAAAATAGGGCAGAAGAATGGATGGTCTCCTTTGCTCTGTGGTAAGGCTGGCTAGGCTTTCACAGCTGGCTACAGCGTCAGTCTTCCGTCCTGTTTCTGTCTTCTCTCCAGTGCAGTGGTCACAACTCTAGCCCTACTCCTGGGCTCCCCCACCCGACTGGACTGCTCGCTGGCCCGCCCTCCCTTCTTCCCTCTGTCCCTCCCTCCCCAGCTGAGCAGCTCTGACACTGGATGAAAAAGGACCTTTCTGAATCACTGCCAAGAGGACGGCAGAAATGGGGGGGACTCTTCCTCCCAGTCACCCTTACTGGCCCCCCTGCTTTCCCATACACAAAGCCTCCTGTCTGTGGCTTCTACTGCAGCTCTCAACAGTTGCAGACAACTCCTGGGATTTTAGGGTTGGGGCTATGAATCTAACAGCAAGCAGCCAAAGGGACTACAGGTCCCTATATGAGCTTGTCTGGGGCTATGGTGGCTAGAATACAGCCTGAATTGGGACTTGGACACCAGAGTATTTCCTGGACCCTGCAGACAGATCCTTCAGGGGCCTTCCCCCACCCCAAGTCCCAGCCTTGGCTGGGCGTCTCCTGGCTCAGACCCTAATGTGGCCCTGTTACCCTGGTGCCCGACGGAAATAGGAAGTCGGCGGCCTGCCAGAGTGGGGCAGTCCAGCCAAGAGCCGGGATGGGGGGATGAGATTCTCCACCTTCTCCCCTGGGATTGCTTGTGTACTGCCCATAAAATCCAGGGTGCCTTCTCCCCAGATTAGCTGGCAAAAGTCTAAGGCTTTTTTTTTTCCAAGGCTTTCTTAAAAACAAAACAACAACAACAAAAACCAAGTATGCCCAAGACCTCTGCTGGGAGCCCCCACCCAAAGCTGTAGGATCTCAGCTGCAGGGTATCTTTTTTATAGCACCTCCTCCCAGATAACAGACTCTGCTTAAGGGGGCTGGAGATACTCCATCAAGTCCCCATGGGCCCCCACATTCCTAGAGCTAACAAATGGTCCCTCTGCCCCTCCTCAAAGGATACCAGCTGCTCTTACACCCCCTTATGTAGCCCCCAGACACACCTGACAGCTGCAGGAAGTCTTCTCCTGCTCCCTAAGCCCTCCCTTTGGCCATGCCCAAGGAGCCCCTGTTTTATTACACACTGCTCTCTTGTCCTTATGTAGATGGCTACCAGTACAGAACCTCAGATGGCTTGTGGGTGAGTACTGAGTTTTGGGGAGTCAGTATCCCAGGCTCTCTTTCCAAGTCTCTTACAGCTCTTGAGACCTCCTTACCTGAAAGGACAGACATTTCTTAATCTGACCTGGGGTAGGAATGTGGGGGTACAATGAGCAATCAGTCCCTTTTCTCCATTATCAACATCTACCACACAAGCTTGTAGAGACAGCAAAGTACAGGCTCCCTTTAGTCTAAGGGTCAAGTCAAAGCTAATAGCCAAGGCCATTCTGAAGCTACATAGATCAAATCAAAGAAGAATCCTGATTTCCTTCCCTCCATTAGGCACCTCCCAAAACAGAACCAGGGACCTTTAGCCAAAAAAAAAAAGAAAAGAAAAGAAAGAACTTTAGCAGGCATATTCCTTACATTGTAAGATGAGCCTGATTAGAAATGGACTGACTAAAATTTCTAGCTACCCCAGAAAGACATGACCGGAATCCTCAAGAACTCTGTCTGACCTTGACTTTTATGTCTAACCAAAACAAGTTTAGCAGTTTACCCAAAAATCCAGTTGAGAGGTTGTGAGGAGAAGCAACCTATATTTGAGGAGGTAGGGGTAAGGGTAGAGCCAGGTCAGTTTCTGAACCCCTTTCTCACAGACCTGACCTTTCTGCCTCAAAACTCCCCAGTACCTTCCTTTTCTCCTATCAGCTACTGCCATCTGCTGACTAGCTGAGGAAGTGCTTGATCTCCAACGGGAAAGAAAGCAAATGTGACCATATTTTCCAAAGCAAAAGGGAACGTTTTGCTTGGTATATACATTCAATAGGCCAGTAAATGGAAATGACCAAGATACAAAGATTCAGTTCCCCTACAAGACAACCTAAATCCTAAGTGGTATTTCCTAGGCTCTGGGGAGAGATGCAGAAAGCCCTAAGGTCGGCTTATTAGTGAGTCCCGGAGAACCTAATATTAATAATCTGCCCCCACAAACACATCATCCCGCCTGTCCTCAAGATCATTTCCGGGGCCCAGAAGCACAGTCACCCCTGACTCCTAGGAGGCTGCTGCCAAAGGCAGGGCGGGGCGGAGCCCCTAGCTCACGGGCACAGGATGAGACCTGGGCCCCAGGTGGCTGGCTATCCTCTATTTGTCCTTATTACCTGCTGTCCCTCCTCGCCCCTAGCCAGGCGCTGGTAAGCAGGTCTCTCCCCCATGCAGCCTTAAGTCCCCGCACAGGGTCGGGAGCACCGGAGGGAAGCAGTGCTCGCCCGCAGCCCCCGCCCCTTCGGCGGGCGGCACCGGCGTCACTGCCCTGCGTCCCCGGTGCGGGGGGGGGGGGGGGGGAGGGGGAAGGCTCTGAGCATCCTCCGGGAGGACAATCCATGCACCCACGGCCTCAGACCCTCCATGGCTACCAGCAATGATCAGGCCTCTGAGATCCCCTCCCCCAACCTCTTCCCGGACCGCACTGGCCTCCCGGCAGCGCCCCCCCACCCCGGCCGGCCAGCAGGCGGTGACCCTCAGAGCAGCTCCACCTTGCTGACCACGGGTCCACTGCTGCTCGTAGCCCGCGGCCGCCTCCAGTTAGGTCCTCTGGGATCCAAACGCCTCTATACTCATCTAAAAAGCCCCCCAAAATAAAACAAAACCCCCAACCCTCTGACCCCACTCTACTTGAGCGACCTCACAATCTCCGGGCTTGAATCCTCTTCCTCCACCTGCTCGCTCCGGTGTCCTTTGCTCCAAGAGTGTCAGGGACCCACCTGCCCAGCAGCCAGCACCACTCCCCAAGCAGTGGCGGAAGCCACGCCTCCCTCACTGGCTAGTCTGCCCATTGGCCCACCCCAGGCCCACCCTAGCACCCTCACCTCTCAGTAGGCCTTCATCTCTCCTTCCCCACCAGACAGCACAACAGGAGCCTGGAAGTGAGGCAGGCCAGTGTGCAGGGGCTGGCCTCTGTGATTTCAGAATGACTAGAGCCCATGCTCTGCTTCAACACGTGCCCACACAGGTGGGCCTCCCCCAGCCGGAGGTGAGGTTACAGCCAGCCAGCTCCTCCAGAGTGCAACTCCAGAGGCTCCTCCTCTCCCTCCAGCCCCCAGGGCTCCAAGGTGCCATGCACAACCTCTCATTCTGATGGCATCTGAAGCATTCACTGACTCCATCCTACGATGTGTTTAGTTAGGGCTGAGCTCCAGGTACCTTCCTTGTCCCTGAGCCAGGGCAGAGGAGAGAGATGCCGAAATACCCTCTCCCCTCTAGGCCTTAAAGCCAAGCACAGATTCCAGGAGCTCTCTGAGTAGTTCTCATTGGGCAAGTTTGGGACATTAGGGTAGGGAAGGGAGTCCAGGATCGTTGGTTCTATTCCAAGCAAAAGCTCCTGGGCACCTTATCATAGCAATGGCAAAAATCATTGGGAGCAGATGCAAGAATTCCAAAGTCAGCGGGGAGTTAGCAAAAAACAAGGCTGAAAATGCCAGGCCCACTCCTCCTTGCCCTGATTGGATGAAGTATCTGACTGATCCAAAACATTCCTCCTTCCTGTTTTCTCCCTGCCTTATGCTCCCAGACATCCCATCTCCCAACACTTCGGTGTGACATCCCCAGGGCCCAAACTACCTTTGGGATTTGGGGAAATCACCTACATGTACCTCCTTTGGTATTCACGTGTCCCTTTTGACTGTCCACACCATGTAGCTAAAAGGGAAGGAGGAGCGGTTGGGGACAGCCTACCTCCACTACTCACCCCCCTCTTTAGCCATAACATCAGTGAAGTGACAAATCCACACTGAGGAACAGATATGACATGCAATTTCCAGCCAAGAGGATTTTTTTTTCCAAAATAATCTACCGTATTCTTGAGAATAGATGCTAACTCCAGCTACAAGCTGATCCTCTCTAAACTTCCACTTCCCACTTCTCTAGCCCCTGGAGGAATAAATTTATTGGGGAACAGAGGAGGATCTACAGCTCCTTCCCCCAACCAGGGGATTATCTTGCCTCTTCAACTCACCTCTATGCAGGGTGAAAGCTTCTGGATCAAGCCCAGGCTGGTTCCCCGCAGATTCTCATCCCAAAAGGAACTGTACCAGGCAACCTGGCACCTTCAGGTCAGCCTGCTCTGACATCACACGGGTCTGAGGAGGCTGGCCAGGGTCCAATGAAAAGAAGGGTGTGATTCAGACACATTACCACTGTCCACACCCTCTCCATCTCCAGGACATAAGTTGGCTTCTCCCTCCCATCTCCCTCCCCCCTCTCTATGCTCAAAGGAGCCTGCTAGCCTAGGTCCAAAGGACAGGAAAGGCTGAGAGCTGTGTATGGCTGAGTTATGGGCTTACAGGCCCAAGCCAGCCCTGAAGCCCCTTTAACTGTTAGTATTTCCTAAGGCTTTTGACCTCTCACTCTTCTTTCTCACAGGATGTTCCACTTCCTGGGAGCTACCCCCCCCCTCCTTCTTTCAGGCCTCCAACTGCCACCCTGCGCTGTCCCCATTCCTGAGCTCCAACAGCTCTTGACTCACATTATAGAAATTTACAGGGCTACTTTACTAGGTGATACTCAAATGGAGCGCATCTCTATCTCCTAAACTCTGCTAACTTGTGCTCCTGCATCAGACTGCAAACATCACAAGCCAACTGGGGCCAGAAGCCACAGACCCACCTGCCCATGGCTTGCTC